CCATGCCGCTCCTCAGCCGCGTTCCTCGCTCCAGCGCTCTTGGGAGCCTCCTCAGTCCCAGCTGGTGCTCTTCCATGTGTTTTACCAACCCTTTACACTGAAACGTCCCTGAGCACAGCAGCCCCACCACCTCTTCCTGTTGGAAAATATACGGATTTTCCTGCAGCTTCGGCGACATCCCCGCAGCCCAGGGCACAGCAAGGCTTCAGCGCTGGAAGGGGCCTGGGCTCGGGCACCTTCCAGCAGGCTCCACGGGGACCACAGGCACCCGGAGCCTGCAGCAGCCCTTCCCATCAAAGACCTTCTGGCAAAGCCCACCATCCCCAGGAGCAGCTCCTGTCCTGTATTTATCCTCCCAGGAGAGCTCCTGCCCCAGCAGCTGCCCCTGTAAGGCTGAGGACACACAGCAGCCCCCCGGCCCAGCAGGGCACAGCCAGAAATAACAAGGCACAGAGCACACCTCGGCTTCCATCTCGTTTTGCCAAGAGTCACCTGATTGTGAGGGGAAAAGGCTGAGCAGCACAACCCCCTAACAACTTCCAGGTGTCCCTTTTCTAGATCAGGTTCATTAACATTCCTCATTAACACCTGTGGGGCACCACCTGTCAGCAGTTGCCTCTCAGGTGTGGCATCAGATACAACATTTTCCTATTTAAAGTAAAATAAAAGGAAGGGGGCTCATGTGTGTGTAAGTTGTGTCCTGGGATGAGGGTTCTTGGTTAAAAAAACACAGGTATTCTCTGGGCAGCAGCCACAACACTTTTATACTGTGTATTTTTACCTCCACTCAGCATGAAAGAACATGGAATTAGGGACCAAATATTAAACTCTTACAAAACCGAAGTGTTATGGTCAGCATGGGCTGCTGTGTGCTCATTCCTGGAGAGGAGCAGAAAAGCACAAAGAACTGTTTTCCATCACTTACTCGTTACCACTGTACCTCTTTGAACGGGGTGTCCTTCACCATTGACAGCTCTGGCAGTTTGTGGTGGAGTTACAGCCGGTGAAGCAGGTGAAAAGCACAAGCCCAGGGAGGTCAGCAGAGCTCAGCCCCAAACTCTGCTCTGGCAGTCAGAGCTTTCGCACTGCTTCATGAGCTGCAGGACCCCCAGTGCCTCCAACCACCCCCATATGGCACTGGCAGGGTCAGATGTCACCATCACATCAGAGAACCCTTTAGGTTCTAAAGACCTTTATGATATCAAGTCCAACCATTAACCCAGCTCTAAGCCGTATCCCTAAGCACCACATCCACATTTGAATTTTCAATACCTCCAGAGTTAGGGACTGCACCACTTCCCTGAACAGCCTATGCCATTGCTTGGCAAGCCTTTCAAGGTGATGAAATGTTTCCAAATATCCAATCCATTGATGCAACTTGAGTCCATTTCCTCATTTCCTATCACTTGCTGCTTGGGAAAAGAGAGGTCAAGCAGATATAAGGGTGTTCTGAAGAACAAAACAGGTCACCACTCAATCAAGTAAGTTAGTACACCTAAAGACACCAGCTGACTGAGTGTGCAAGGTGTCTGATTTTAGTAAATTGACTGAATAATTGAGATCTGAAGGGCTGATCCCAGATCGCTACAGCAAACGTACATAGGAACCACCAGTGGCAAATAAGCAAGCGATGAAAGCTGCCAACAGTGATCCTCAAAGTTACATAAACACCAAATATGTCACTTTTCCATTTTATGTCTCCCATGATAAACTGTTATGAGACATGCACATGGCTTGAAACAGATAATTGTTGATAACCCTGACTGGTGGGAGAAGGAGCCATCTGGCAGATGGAAAACAAGAAGGTGCCAAGAATTTAGCAGACTAGGGGGCCTGCGAATTTATGCATAGAGGTCTGCAGAGAGGAATATTTAGACAAAAGTTCAGCAACTCTGTTTCTATCTATACACAAAACAAATTGGAACATCAAAACTATCTGAATAATTATGAAAATTATTCCTGTTTGAAATTCATCTTCAAACTGTGAGGAAAATCAGTGAATCTAAATCTGTGAACTTAGAAGTGAGGAATTCTTTCTGCATATCATGATTAATCACAAATGGGTACAGCACATAGCATCACATTTCTTCTTCTGTCCTTCAGGTTTCTATCCTCACTGCCTTTAACATGCAAATGCCTTTATTCATCCTCTCCTGACCTTGCAGCATGGTATCATTTGTTTCTTTCAATTTTCCTTAACAGTATTTCTTTCTTCTTATAGCAGAGAAAGAGCAATGTCTGATAAGCCTCGCTTTGTATTCCCTTCCTTTCTTCTAAGTGAATTTCTTTTGCCTTTGCTCTCCTCTTTATCCCTCCTGGGTAGAACAAGGGATATTGCTGGATGCAGCATTCTAATTGTGAATCCACATTTTTCCACTGAGATCACTGCTCATTAGCCACTTTGCTGCTGACCCTTTGCAACAGCTGAGCTGCAGCCAACATCTCTTACAGCTAAAGGGAAGTGAGGACATGACCCACATCAGTAGTCACAGGCAAAACACAATGTTAATAAATTTATGTAACATATTTAGTGATTTTGGGGCTGGTTTTGCTGAAGCATCATGGATCACCACAAGGACCACGGAGCACTGAGTTTGTCCAGGGAAATTGTGCAGTCTCTGTCCTTGCAGCTTTACAAGACCCACCAAGATAAAACCTGCAGCAACCTAGTTTGATCTCATAAGCTGACCCTGCTTCAAGCAATAGTTTGGACCAGAAACCCCCAAAGGCCCCCTCCAATACAAATTTATGAGACCATGACTTCCAGAGGCACCCTGAAATATAACTCTCACTGACTCCTGCATAATATTCCAAGGCCAGTGAAAATGGCACATGCAGATATTCTTCAAAATCACACTTAAAGCTTACTAGAATCTTCAGATTTCTTAATATTGTATCTGTGGAGCTCCTTCCAGTTATTAACTTTCACTTCAACTGATGCTGGGACAAAGGTGGCTCAGCAGATCCTTTGTCACTCAGGCTGCTTCACTAATAATATTTAATTTGGGGAGTTCCTGCAACCACATTTTCATATTGTTTTTCAGCATGAAAGTCCTATTCCACTCAAATCCCATCAGAATAATGAAATTATATCCAGACAGAAGTTTGCAGTACCTCATACTAAAAGCCCTGCAGGCTGTGCTGGCTACTCACCAATTTTTCTGAGAGGAAGAGATGCTAACCCACCACTCAACCTCAAATCCCTTTCCATCACCCTGTTTATAACAAGCATATTCCTGTCTCAGAACTGCACTGGACATCGGAGAGCTCACCCACATCAGTTGGTGTAAATGTGTCTCTCACATACAAGATTTTCTTCTGTGAAGAAATAATACACATATTTTAAACCTTTGTGTTTTAGTGCAGAAGCAGATTATTCTTTAATCCCAGTTCTCTCATTTTCAAGGCCATTATATTATGATTATTTTTTCATAGCTTTCATGGTGTTGATCTGTGTGAGGAATTCCAGCTCTTCATGGATCGAGGGAAGACAGGACACTTACATTTTGCACTGATTCTCACTGAATTTGCAATGACCCACACTCTGCACAGTCAATAATGCAGGGTCGTTCTTGTGTTCCTTTCATAATCTCATGATGCAGGGAGCCCCAAGCTGCAAGTTAAAGTAAATACAAAGAAATTTTCCAATTTGCAAATACAAAACAGTCTGTGTTGTACCAATTCTATGCATTTTCTTTGCAAAAATGATAACTTACATGCAGGACCATGGATGTCATGACAGAGAAGAGCTGTTATTTAGACTCATTAACAGAACTCATTTGTTGCCAGGGAACCCAAATAAACCAGATAAACCTTATTTTTTACTGTAAATGTGTGCAATATAATGAGTATTGCTGAAATGTTATCCTATGTATTCTTTAATTATAAAACGTGCACATTTTTGTAAGATCTTGCTCAGGATCTCTGATACAGAATGCAAACCCTATGTCCTGACTGCCAGGATAACTTAGCAGAAAGCACAGACAGTTTAAGTCAGATACATCAATGGCAAGCAGTCTCACATTCTCTTAGAGCCTCCAAATTAAATCTGCTTACCTTATTCATATGCATAATTCCAGCAGAGCAATATTTATACAACACCCTTAACTGAAATGGCAGTAGAATAACATTTTTGATCCATTCAATGAAGTAACAACAGAGGCAGCATTTGCCCCATGTCTGTTCATGTAAAGCAGCCCCACAGCTGGGCACAGCTGGCATTCACCTCTCCAAAGGCACCCATACCTGCATTTATGGGATGCACAGGAGCAAAGCTGGAACACCAACTCTTAGACCACCTGTGAGGTGTGCAAGGGCTCACATAAACATTAAACACCTTTCATTTTCAGCACACCACTGGCAAATACAAATGAAGGGGGAAATAATCTCACTAGTCTTCTCATGGCCTACAGGATGAGAAACACTTGTTTCAGGATTGCTTATAACCATCAGTATTTCACCTCTGAAGATCCAAGTTCTAATCATAATGGAAATACAAGGTTTGTGGGTTTAAATTATGTTCCTCTTCCCAATCATGGCATGATGTTTCATGTCTGACAAATTACAAAGTGATTGGAAAAATAAGGGACTTCCTCCTTTTGTTAAGAAAGAATGAAAGATACTTGATCTAACATTTTTTTCATTGTCAGCTCCGAGGTTAGCAGCAGCAACTTGCACACTTTCACAATGTTGTGGTTTCGTTGATTCAGTGGAAGACAGAGAGTTTTCCTGTTTTCATGCACTGAGTGATCACTGCAATTTACCACACCTGTTTGATGTTCTGGCTTTGTTCACAGCAGAAAGCAACACGTAGTAGCTGCCCATTGGCCCTTCTCTTCCATCAAACCAACGTGCCAAGTCTTCAGAAGCATCTCCCTCCCATGCAGCTGAGTGCACCCTGTACCTTGTTTATGCTATTGATTCTTCACCAATACAAGCATTAGCTTCAGCTGAAAAAGCACACTGTAATTATTAAATCAGACAGAAAGCAAACCCAGGACTATATTCAAGCTTAAAAGTCAAGTTTATTCTGACCACAGCTAGCTGTCCCTCCTCACAAAAGGAAAACTTCTTTTGTAACCATGTCATCTTTCTGATACCCTATTTTTTAAAACTTTTTTTCAATCTGTTTGGCTTGTTAAAGTTCCTCTACTTCTATTTCCTGAATACAAAAAAGGGGTAAAAATCATCTTTTAATTGTCAGTTGTTCACATACATATTTAATAGAGCAGCACTAAACATAGGGTTTAGCCCACCAGCGTTTTACACAAGCAGGATCCCATTCAGTTCTCCTGAAGCTTTACCTGAACAAACATGCAGTCCTTTATTTTCACAAAATGAACATTGCATTATTTCTTCTGTTCACCACAGCACACCAGGGCACAGTTGTACAGGGCACAGTATGTCGGGTGATTCCTTGCTGCACTGTCGTAGGTGGCGCTCAAACTATGGACCAGATTCAGACGCTGTAACTCTACTGGCAGTGTTTGTATCGGGAAAGTGAAGCAGGTGCTTGTCATGCACCACTATTAGAAAAGCAGCAAGTGCTCTCTCAGAATGACAGGATGAGCTCTTTAACATAATTAGGAGCCAAAGGACATTTTTGGAAGCTAAGTCAATTGGGCTCATCTGTTTCACACTCCCAGAGGCAATCAATTCCTGTTCACTTTACTCATCCTGAAAACCTTCCCCAAAAAAGACCAAGGAATTTTGCGCGCAGAAATGACCATGCATCAGCTCCCAAATCAAAGGAGCTGTTGCTGTAACATGCTGCCATGGAAAGGTCCCATCAGGAGACCCAAGCACAGCTCCCCGCTGGCGGCACGGGAGCCGAGGCGCTGGCATGTCCCGGACAGGGCTGGCGTTCCATGGGCAGCTCCCGGCTCCAGCCGCCCGCCCTGCCCACAGCAGCGCTGCTGGAGCACAGACAGACCAGGCCAGGCCAGGCCAGGGGGAGCAGGCAGCCTCAGAAAGCAGGCACGGAGAAAAAGCAAGCACCGTGCTCTACAAGCAGGTCAGATTTTCAATCACTGTTCCCGGACACTGAAGAAAATAAAAAACCCTGCTGGGTACAGTCCAAAGCCAAACACCCAAAATCCTCTCAGCACTGCACTGAACATGCACAGTGGTAACACAAAACACATCATTCCACAACAACACGAGTACCTTAATCTGTGTTTGAAATACCAAACTAACTATGCCTCATGTTTCTAGCACTGCTCTCTGGAATCTGGGACTACATCCTAGCAGGCCAATTAAAAGATCTCCCATTGCTAGATTTTGTTATTTCACTGATGGTGAAAATGAGCTAAGGGAAACAACATGTAATGCAGTCATTCAGCAAGTGTATAGGCAACCTTATGCAATAATCTTTTAACTAGTTTATTAAATGTTTTTCCTTTTCAGAATAAATTCAACATCTAATGCCAAAATTTCATCAAGAACTCAAAAATCTTAGTAGCCAGTTATCAGCTGTTTGAGTTACAAGAAATAGACATATTACACATCACTAAAATTTTCACACATACACCCACACATACACACACACGTATCAGCATCCTGTTTATATTATTTTCACATATCAATCTCCTTTTTCCTACTCATACTCTTCACATTTTCTGAAGGCACAACACCCAAATAGGCAATGTAAAATGTACTTCCTGTAGAAAAGTCTGTAGTCTCCTAAGAGAACAGTTTGGCAAAACTACGTTTGTTTAAAAACTCAAGTTCCAAAATGAGCCTTCAAAGAGCAGCAGAGAACACCAAGATTAAAAACTACTTAGGGTGTCTGCACTATTCTTATGCAACACACCACTTAACCTTTAATAAATCAGGACTTTTCCCCAGAAATTACAAAAGCAGAAGTAGTAAAATCTCTTTTTTTTTCTTTTTTTTTGTTTAATCATTAAGTTTTAACGATGGGACAGACTCTAGGCAGAGCTCCCAGAAAGAGCCAGACCACCATCTGGCTCCACCACAGAGCAATGACAATTCACAGGCAATGAGTCTCCAACCAGCGCTCTGAAATCAAACGCTGGGCTGGCTCCATAAAAGCTCTGTTACAGCCATGAACACACAGCTGTACATTTCCTCCCTCTTCATACATAAATATACCCTCAGACACAGACAAAGGGAAAAAATAAATCATTTTATGCATTTTTTCTATGCTTCCCTGCTCTGCCTGTTACCAATCAATGTCAAGAAATATCTTACATCTTATGTTTTGTTAGCACTATAGAATATATAGAATATATATAATTTTATTTTTGTTGTCACACATGCTAATGTTTCCAGTATGATAAATGTCTTTTTAAATCCTGCATTTCTTGTCACGCTGTAGATCCACTTCTATTTGACAGTGACTCCTGGACATACATGTCAAGACAAAAATAAATACTGCTGCGATGGCAAACGTTTTAAAACTCTTAGGACACTAATACAGTGGCACTTGAAAGACTTTTAAAATACAACAGAAAAGACAATAGTTAAATAGAAACCTGCTTTGACACAGCCATGAAACCTGCACTACACTTGCAAGATCTGTATTTGTTTCTGCAGGAGCAGCTCCTGATCTTTGAACACATCAAATGTTGCACTCCAGCCCTCCGCCCATACCCTTTAAGAAGTCCACGTTGTTATTTTAAGCAAGCATCCCCTCAAGCTGTACATAAGCAACACTGTATTTCCCAAACAATTGAGGTAATTATAAAAATGAATATCATTTATTATTTTCTTTTATTACTATCATGTCTGAACATTTGCTTTCATACAAAAGTCTGATTATCAGCATTATGTTTTCCAAGGGCATCCCCTCCGCACCAAGGGAGATAAAGATGTGTTAGGAACTGTGCAAGAGTTTTTGTTACCATCTTCAAACCCACAAGAACTTCATGAACACGATATTGGTGCAGAATAACTGCCTGGCGTTTTAGAGAAGGTGGAAGGGGCTTCATACAGATTTTCAGTTCCACTTGATTTTTTTTTAAACCGCATCTAACTCAATGCAACGGGGGCGGGTAAAAAAAAAAAAAAAAAAAAAAAAAAACAAAAAGAAAAAAAAAAAAACCAACAAAAAAAACCAAAACACCACGAAATCATCACATTACTGTAAGTTACCCTTCAGCAGTCTTTGGAGGAAATCGGAGACCAGGCTGCTTTTCCCGGCTCCCTCCCTCCCTCCAGGCAGCCGGAGCGGCTCCTCTGCCCGGGCGCCCGGCGGACGCCGCTGCCCCGTCACAGCCGCGGCTTCCTGAGCAACGTTCTGCTGAGGTCCTTCACCTCCTCGGGGCTGCCGACCCGCTCGTAGCCCAGCAGGGCCATGGGCTGGTGGCAGTACTCCTCGACCTGCTTGATCTGCTGGTAGCTGAGCGCAGTCCTCCAGGCACTCAGCGCCTGGGTGGCGTTCCTGGCCGACACCACGAACGGCTTGGAGGAGTAGCCGGGGCCACTGGTCATGTTGAGGGCGAACTTCTCCATCTCCGGGCTGACTGCCAGGTTCACAAAGCCGTACACCTGCCGCAGGGTCTTGATGGGCTCCACCACCAGGTCCTCGTAGCGCACGGCCATGTAATTGCCCTGGAGCCAGTCAGGGGGGTGCAGAGCAGTCTGCAGGGTCTTGGCCATGCTGCTGCAGATGACCTCCATGGCACCCAGGGCATGGTAGTCCGAGCCGCCCGCCTCCTTCTTCCCGCCCAGCTTGTGGCCAGCATCAAGGAAGGGCATGCGGTGGATGTGGGGGTCTCGGCTCCTCACCACCTGCAGGCTCTCCCGGATGAGGCCGTGCCGGGACTTGATGCGGGAGCTGGCGACGGCCCGGGGGTCCCGCACCAGATGGATGACTTTGAGGTCCAGGGTCGGGTCCCGCATGAGCGGGGCCAGGACGGCCAGGTCAAAGACACGCACGCCCTTGATGACCAGCGTGTGGTACTTGTGGCATTCCTCCTGGAAGCGGCTGAGGCGCTGCGGGGGACACTTTTTGCACACCCGGTCGTCCACCATCCCCACCACCTCCTTGCGATAGGCCGGGCAGAGGGGCGAGGAGCAGATGACCTTGTTGGTGGCCGCCCCAAAGATGCCGAGCGTGGTGAGGTTCTTGCCGGCGCCCGCCGTGCTGTAGAGCTGGAAGACGGAGAGGTCGCATCGGTACAGGGAGCTCAGCATGTCGCGGGCCGCCCCTTGCAGCGAGACGGCGTCACCGGGGTACAGCTTCTGCCAGACGTGCCACACCGGCTCGTAGAGGAAAAAGACCTCGGGGTTCTGGTTGAAGAGCTCCCCGAAGAAGGACGAGCCAGAGCGCCAGGTGGTGAAGACATAGACCAGCTGCCGCCGGGCGCCCGCCGGGCCGCGGCTCCCGGCCGGTGGCGGCGGCGGCGGGGGGTGGTGGCGGGGGGCGCCGCCGCAGCGCAGCTCACGGCGGCCGCCGGGGCGAGGCGGAACCGCGCTCCGCTCCGCCCCACAGTGCGGGGAGGCAGCGAGGGGCGGGCGGGGGCTGCGCCGCCCCGACAGAGCGCATCGCTCCCGCCCCGCCCCCGCCGCGCCGGGAGAGCTCCGGTGCCGCCGCCGCCACCGAGGGGCGGCCCCGATTGGCGGCGCCCGCCCCGCGCTCGCCATTGGCGGCTCCGCCGCCCGACCTCGGGATGCGGCGCCCCGCCCGCTCCGGCCGACCGCCCCCGGGGAGAGCCCGGGCTGATCGGCACCGATCCCGACCCCGGCCGGGCCCCGCACCGCCGGAGGCGGTGGGCGCTGCTGGGAGCCCCTCTCCGCTCTGCCGGGGCGCTGCCGTCAGCCCAGCCCGGCGGGAGGCTCCTCGCCGGATACCCCTCGCACAGCGGAGCTGCGCCGGTAACGGGAAAACCAGAAGAGGGGGGCAAGATCCCTGAAAGGCCTGAGAGGATTCCGGGGCCAGCCCCGCCGCCCTTATCTTGGTTTGTGCAGAAACTCGGAGTTCTCAAAGGTTCTCCAAAACGTTTAAAAAAACCCCTCACACTGGATCTTCCTGGCAGAGCTCAGCACAAATCCATCCGCCCGCAGTTCTTCACAGTGTTTTTATAGCCGGTGTCCGGTCACCGGGCGGCCCCTTCGGTGCTGGAGTGGCCGGAGCGCGGTGCTGGCCCGCGAGTGCCGGGGAGAGCCCAGCGCAGCCCCGCTCCTGCCCCGGCCCCGCGAGCACCGAGCCGGCAGCTGGCCGGCGATGGGCCCCGAGACTCCCTGCCCCAGGTGGGAGCGGAAACGAGCAGCGCTTTCTCCTGTGTCCTGGCGACACAGCGCTGTGCGAAGGGCAGTGGTGCGGCTCCAGGCAGCAGCGATGCTTTAAAGACGACCACATCCCCAAAAGGCGCCTGCAAAGTGCGCGGAGTGGCGGGTCCCGCAGAGACAGCGCACTTGTGGGGCACAGGCTTCCCCATGGGCTTCTGGCAAAGCTCAGTGACTCTTACAGAATTTTCTCAGCGGTTTCCTCCGCCCCCGACCGAGCTCGGAGCGCTCCGGGGCTGCTCACGAGTTACAGAAGCATTTCGCGGCTCTCTCCTGTGCTTTGCTTTCTGTACCCAGCAGCTCTCGCACTGGTGCAGCGTTTCCCAGCACGCACAGACACACACGGCCCATCGCCCCGGGCAGCTGGGAGCCTGGAGCGCTGGGGGCTGCCCCTGGCTCAGACCATCCACAACAGATGACACTGGGGAGATTTTGCTGGAAGGTTTATTAACAGCACGGATCTGACACTACAGCAAAAGGTTTTACACTCAGAGAGCAGATAAAGCACAAATTCACTCGCTGTGTGCCTTGCCTGGTAGCACGCTATTTAATAAATGCAAGAAAACAGCGTAAGAGGGTGAAGGAGCTAAATGTGTAAGCAATCTTCATATCGCTTATCAAAACATTTCAATACTCCTCCCACACTTTCTGCAGGGATGTTATCAGCCAAGGTCCCTTTCTGGAAAAACTTCTAAGCCCCTTCCAGCCTCAAAGCCAAGGGTAAGATCTGTAGCAGGAGGGCTCCTCTCTCCGAGCCTTGCCAGGGCAGGGTGGCAGCGGGTTGGGAGCAGGGAGCGCCCCTGGTGTGCGACACGGCCATCAGAGCACACAGGCCAACTCAGGACCCGCCCGCAAGCTGCCAGTGATTCTGGCGGCAGCGTGCAAATGTCACTGTGACTTTTCATACAGAAGTGATTTGTTAATAGCAGACTTTAAATGACCATTAAATATTCAAGAAGTCTCTATTTCATCAAAGTGAGGGGGAAGGGGAAGCCATTTTTTTACCCTACGTTACTCCAGAGGAAGTCTTTAAAACCACATTGTAAACAAATTATTTGTATCTATTTGTATCTAGTTGCAAACAAAATGTGCGGTTTAAATGAGCTTAAAACAATTGACTTGTAACATAGTACATAACGGAAAATAAACCTCTGGAGTATCGTGTAGCATAAAATTCTTGCAGTTATTATATTCTTTAGGTTTAATCCATGTGTTCTTCACATAAAACAAAACTTTTGCTTTTTTATATATTTTTTCATTCTGGAATGGTCTGTAGTAGTATCAATTAGCCTATATTAGATGATGAATGACAACGGCAGTACTGAGACGCTGGAGTTCATAAAGCAATATCTCCCACCACTATTGTTCTGCAGCACTAATGCAATAAAGGACAGAGACTACAGGGAGCAAAACCAATTCATAGCAGTGAAAAATCATTACAATACCATGAAGTTAAATTAATCCCTTCTTTCCATTTCACTTGGTTGAAGAGAGATATGAAATTTTCTGAAAAAAACCACAATGCCAGCTCCAGTTCTTACAGCATTTAAAATTTAGCAAGTAACAAAGATAAGCAAACATGAACTGCAGGTATAACATCTGAAATGGTAAAACTAATCAGTAAACCCAAACATGAAAAGCTGTAATTGGATCCTGCACCTTCCCCGCTGCTACACAGTGGTTACATCTCTCTGAATCAGCGAGTGAAAGCAACACTGCCTTCATCAAACTGCTCCAACTCAACGAGGAAAACACGAGGCCAGCAGCTCTTTAATCCAACCTACATGTGGCTAAACAGAATCTTACTTTTCAAAACTGGAGCAATGTAGGTGTTTATGCTGTGCAGGTGCATCCAAGTACCCACGCACAACACAACTGCAATCAGTCGTGCTCAGTGCAGCTGCTTTATCTGATCTTCCCAGAAGTTTCAGACCTGGCAGTCAAGTAGCACTTTGAAGAACTCAATATCAATGAATATTGAATAAGCTTATATGGAAGAGATTTATACAGCCAACTTTCAATTCACAAGTTTGGACATTTGGTTGGTTGGTTTTTTAAAATCATTTATACATCTGTTGCAAAGCATTAGAAACATATATGGCAAAGAAACACAAAAGTATAAAAAAATTTTAAGAGGCACAGAAAGTGTGTGAAAGAGGAACATTCTGCAGCTGAACAAACACAGCTCTTCACAAATATATTCAGGTATTTCAGTGTACATTTTCCACCCTCTATTTTATTTCATGTCAATCTATTTTATGATCACTAATTTCAGTATACTAGATCCCCCATGTCAAATAATAAAAAGTTTCCTTTCTTCAAAAAGCAAAATTCATCATTCAAAAACTAAAAATCAAAGCCCCAACACTTCTTTCTAGGCCAGCTTTACTTTTTGACAATTACATGTAATTTGCTTTGAGGAGCAGAAGAGAATTCTCCTTTTCCAGTGCAGATTGTTACACACTACAAAACTCAGATAGAAGTCGGGTGGCTGTATTTCCCTCAAACACTGCAGCCAGCAATGTGTAAAGTGAGGGATAAGTACCTGCAATTAAAATGCCCCAATTTAAAATATGAGAGGAAAATATTTTTTTCATTCAATGCTTAGATATTTTATGTTACAGTTTAGTATTTTATATTTAGTAACTATGTTTATGAATCTTACATGTAATATATAGGCAACCCAAATCCTGACTAGCTGAATTTCTTCCTCCCTCCAACTGATACTGCCCCAGTCAGAATTCTCCAAGATCCCCTCCACGACACCCCTTCATTTAGGCAATGGGGCTGAAAAAGGTTTCATCCTTATTGGAACACTTTCCAGCTTTCTATTTTGTCATGCTTTAAGATTTGCCTTTCTCACGTTCACAAGCATGCGATGGGCACAAGGAGAAGTTTTTCCTGAAGTCAGACTTGAGCAAGATTTTATCTTTTGAAAGAAATTGAAAGACGGAGATTTATGCTGTTGTAAACCTAGTGTGAGGTAAGTTCTGGGTGCTGATTAAATAGTCCTGTATCTAGCCTAATCAGGATAAACAGAGATCCTGAATTCCTCAAACATTGCCCAAAAGTGAGATTCTTAAAACTAAAGCACAAATTATAGACCACAAAACAAAATTTATATAAAATTGAGTAGGTCTCAAAACTTGGGAAACCTATGAATTTGTTTAAGACTGTATTGTGAACAAAATTTATATAAAAATTGAGTAGGTCTCAAAACTTGGGAAACCTATGAATTTTTGTTAAGACTGTATTTTAGTCTCACCACTGGAGATGGGTGAGAAGAATCTCTACAGCAGCATTTAGAATTGCAGGTGTTTATATTTTGCACCCTTCCTTCTAGTATGTGCATGATGTCTTAACAGCATATTCAACATGTCATGCAGCAGTGGCAGCTCATTTCCCCCAAAACACACTTTTTTCCAGTAATGGTGAATCCTTCAACAACCATTCCATTAAGTGATGGCTGCCACAATCTGCCTCCTAAAGTATCCATTTTCCCTCGGATGTTCCTTCTGAACCATGAGTGCAGAAGCAGCTGGCAGGGACCAAAATTAAAGCAGCCACTCATAAACCAGAAATACAAAACCAAGCGGACAACTTGTCTGTAACAAGCTGTTCCCTGCCACCCCAGTTTCTCTTTCATGTTCACTTCCAATTGCACAGGTGATGTTTTCAATAAACTACACTTCAATAAATATTTATAAATTTCTGTTTGTGCACTGAAGGAATTCCAGAACTTTGCAAATGTCCTGGGGACACTGCAGTGTAGATTAGTCTCTACTTGACTTTTATTAAAATTAGAAATCTTTTTTCTGCTGTTGTGTAACTGGTTCAAGTTCTAAAGGGAAGATAACCTGAAAAGCCAAGGAAAAAAAAATCATCATCAATGCAAGAGATGTAGATTTCATGGTGAAAACGCCCAGTGTCAGCTGCAGTGCAAACTTCTACACTATAACAAGTTCCGAAGATTCACCTCTATCCTCCTAGTTTCCATTTGCAGCAATGTGGTCAGTGTTTGCTCTAGCAGAATCCAGCAGGTAAAAACATTTGGCTAAATCATTCCTGAAACACCAGAGCTGTACCTCTTTAGCATGGCTCAAAAAATACGAAAACTGGTTTCTACTCCCAGTGATGGCTTTGGTGATGGTTCTGATTGCTGGTAATGATCCTGGAAGTTCAGTCCTGGGCACAGGCTGCTCCATCTTCCACAAATCCAAATTGTATGCATCAATTCCACCCTCCTCTTCCCACGCCAGCTAAATTTTAAAACAAGAACAATTTGTCATACAGAATTAAGAAATTCTGCCAGGTTAAATCTTTCTGTGAAAGATTTCTGAGAGCTTTTCAAAGACCTT